GGTGCCGGGGCAAAAAGCCACCTCCAGCCAAACCCCGCTTTGCCAGGCGGGAAGACAGAGCTGAGCCCCTGCTCTGCCGCTGCGGGGACCCCTTCCGCAGAGGGATCGCGGGGTTCTGGGGTGCAGGATGGAGTTCAGGGGAGGGCCAGTGAACAGCTGGCACAAGCAGGGACCCGGCAACGTCAATTTGCTGCTGTCAGGGCTCGCTCCTGACTGAGCCGTGCAGCAGAGCCCCCATTTTGCACCACTTACTCCCCAAAAGAGAGCACAGAGCCAGCCCTCTGAGCGCTGGGCCCCGAATCTCGGCGCTCGATGCCCTCGGCAGCAACCAGACGGAAGCTGGAGCCAGCGCTGCGCTCTCCTCCTCAGCCCGCGCACACCGTGCTGCCACAGCCAGGAGGGGTTTCTGGCTCTACAAAGGTGTTCCTCTAGCAAGGCGCGGCTTGGAAAATGGTGTTTATTGGTATTTATAAATACAAACATAAGGAAGAGTCCAGTTGAAGATGGATAACTGACTTAAAAGGACACTGTCAAGTAGTTTGAGCTACCTCAATGCTGTCACCCTGTTTGGAAAAAAAAAAATAATAATAATGCTTTGGGTTCTGTATTCTTCAGTTTTCCTTGCCCCGTCTGCTCCCTGGGCAGTGCCGTTATCTCCTGCCGCCCTGAAAATCAGAGAGAGGAGTTCTGCAAATGAAGTACAGGAACACGCTCGCTGAGGTGGGAGAGCACCCGCCGCGCTGAAGAAGATTTGAATAAATACAAGGGGTTAGAAGCGACCTACAGGAAAGGAGTTGACAGCATCCTTTTAACCACAGCACACCGGGGCTCCTCCCGGCAGCCTGCGCAGCGGCGAGCCTCTGCTAAGCACACACAGATGGGTTGGGGTACGCCGCAGATGAAGGGGACGCAGCTTCGGTGGTCCTGAGTGACCCTTCTGCCCACCCAAACACCCCACGCAGCAGTAAGAGGGCTAGGAAGCAACACGCTGTCCTCAGAGCAAACCCACGGTGAAAGCGCCAAGCCGCCAGGACCCTCAACTGGC